AGTCGATTCATAGCAACTACAATCGGTAGGTTTTGGTTCTGATTTATTATGTTTGCGTCTTTTTTTATTGCAATGTTTGCATACATGAAGTCGACTCCTTTTCAGAGAGCGACTAGCTACTGATCCATCCGTATCCATACCAGATTCATTATTTGATCCTATCGTAACAAAATTACTAGCCGGGGGGACAAAACCCCCCGGCTCCGGTAGCTCGTTCATACACCTAATAAATATCAATTAAATTTTGACTCACCAGAAAGTAGATAATAAACAATACTTATATACACTATAAATACGTAAGTACAAACCAATTAACTGATCACTATTTTATGCAAGAGGTATTAGTTAAAAATATTAAAATCAAAAAACGCGCCCGCTAAAGTTAAACGTTTCCCGCGCTTTTCCGTATCTATACTTATTTACAGAAATAAACACTCGGAAAAATAAATAAACCTTATAGTCTTTTTTTCAATTATTCGTTCCTTTCGGAACAGGCTAAGATCATAGACCATACTGCCTCGTCATTGGTTGAATTGTATTTCTTAGTATTGAAAAATGACGTTAAGTCTTCAGTTTATAAAAATGATATTAAACTTCTTCAGTATAAAAACAAAATTACAATAAAAATTCTGGAAGTTGAGTGGAGGCAAATGTAACAGCTACGGTCTGCGTAGGAAGAAACCGCACCGAGCCATCATCACCTCGTACACGTCGCATAAATCGCCTCACTTGAATGACATTTCGGGAGCTGCCTATTAACGAAAAAATTTTTTTATTAGATAAGTCAGTAGGAACAGATCTTAACACCCCTGTAACTTCTGTATCGGCTGCTGGAATTGCAGCGTTAAAGTTTAGTTCGTCTAGTAATTTTTTATTTTGTAAAAAAACATTTGCGTTGTCGGATACATCAAATGTGATACCAATTTTGAATTTATTTATTGCTTTTAGGTGTAGGACACCCGAGACGCAATTTTTCCTTAGAGCATTAGATAATGCAAGTCGGTCTTTATCATTGAAGTTAAGTCCATCTTTTCGGGACAAGAAAACAATAAATTCAGATTTTTTTGAATCTTCCAAATATTTCCGGCTATATCCGGGGACTTTGAGGATATCATATTTTTTTCCTATAATATCATCATCTTCTGTATCGGACAAAGACGACAATGAAGACGATGAAACGTTTTTATCATCAGGAGGATTTTCCGGTTTACGACGTTTTTTCGCCTTCCCCATATTTATAATATGTACAACTCTCTATTTGTATAAACAGGCTAGTATTTACACACCATATTACAAAAATATACAAAATAAAAATTCGCAAATAAGAAAAGGCGCCTAAACGTATTCAAGGTTCCCGCGCGAATCATTTTTTTACCAACATAAAGTCAAATCTAGTGATGTCCAAAATCGGAAATTAAAAACTATCCATACGATCGACAACCAGCGCTTCGTCCAAGGTGACCTTGGTAGGATGAAACTATAATGTGTAAAACTTATTCCATATAAGGCGCCTATTACACTACCCAATCTATCGGGCACGATATTATTAGGTTTAATTTAACATTTATAATGGCCTATTAATTTATTCAGAAGTAGGGGAAGTGTTGGAACTATTTAGTTTACACACCAACCTTCTTTCATATATCTTTTGATAGGCCACTTTGTTTTTTCTCTTTATATTCTTTGTCATTGTCAGTTTTTTTTTAAGCAATTCCATAGATCTGAAGTTCAGATGACCAAGGCGTTTGTGCCATAATTCAGCTGAATTTTCTTTAACTTCTGTTAAATTCGCGTGAGCAGTAGGTAAATCAAGTTTGTACATACCATTGATATTTGAGGCTGTGCATAAAACTTTTCCGAATACCTTACACGTTTCTCCATCAATAATTTTTCCTCCAGATTTCGAAAAAAGTACGACATTCCCTTTCTTTACCAATGAGTTCACTGAAAGCAGGTTCGTTGAGAGGTTCGGAACATGCAAAACATCGGTAATATTGGAAGTGTTTAGTTTTACAGTACCAATGACATCTGAAAGAATTATTTGATCATTAGCTATTCTAATACTTTTCGTGACAGGTTTAGTATCATGTAGCCAATCACGTCTATTAGTCATATGACTTGTAGCCCCGGAATCTATAAACCAGTTATCACTCTTTGCAAGAAGCGACTTATCAAAAATTGGTTTACACATAAAAGAGTTTACAAAAGTTTCACTAATCTCCAAATTATCAAAATTAGAATTAGTCACGGACTGATCATCAACCACAAGTGTTACCTCGCAAATTTCGGCCTTTTCATCTTTGGATTTAGCTTTAAGAATTCTACAATTTGGTTTTATATGCCCTGGTTTACGGCAGTAATTACAAAATATGTTCTTAGTGTCTCTATTAAATTTGTTGTAAGACAACACTAAAGCACTATCTTCAGGTGTTTTACTGCAGGTGGCTAGATCTCGGCTGTCTTCTTTCATAAGTGCAGCAATGACATTGTCGGATGTTAGTTCAGTGCCAGAATGTTCCAATGCCATGACGAGTGGCTTAAATTGATCGGGTAGACTACAAAGCAGTATAATTGCAACAAACGAATCATCTACTTTGTGGTTTATTTGTTCTAATTGTTGGTGTGTCGACATAATCTCATTAACATAAGTTTCCATATTATCAATATATCGACAGTTCATTAGTTTTTTCATTAACATGAGCTTTCTAATAAGTCCGCTGTCTGCGTATGCCCCTTTTAAGTTATTCCACGCTTCAAATGCAGATTTACATCCCATTATTTTAGAGAAGACTCTTTCATGACAGCACAAGCCAATTTTAGATCGGGCTCTGTCATCAGAGCGTTGCATTTCTGGTGAGCTATTGTCAAAAGGTGGATGCTTCACGCAATCCCATAGTCCACAATCAATCAGCATCATCTCCATTGAGAATGCCCATGTTGCATAGTTTGAACGCCCTTCTAATTTGTTAAAAGATGGAGTACTTACTGTATGTGCAGTTGGAATATAGGATACTACACTACTATTACTTGCGTTTGTATGAGAGAAAGGTTTTGTACAAGAATCTCCTTCCATTTTTTTTTATGTTCGAATTGCAAAAATTTAGAGTATCAGAGCTCCTGGGCCCATAACCAAAAGGAACTTATTGCCTTTAAATAGGTATTCTCTCAACTCCAAATAAAATAATAACATGTAAGATAAAAAGACTTATGTATTTTCTTGATAAATATTTTAAACAGAAAAAAAAAACTGACAATGACAAAGAATATAAAGAGAAAAAACAAAGTGGCCTATCAAAAGATATATGAAAGAAGGTTGGTGTGTAAACTAAATAGTTCCAACAGATATATCGGCCGCGATTTAGGGCGGTTGGTGTCGTTGTGATTACACTGCACTAGATCGCCTCCCTAACTCAGTTGGTATGCAAACGTGGCGTTGAATGGATGGCTCCTTCGCTCACAAAGTACCAAAAAATTGGCATAGCCCATACTTTAACTGCGGGCGTAAATAATAAAACAAAATGTTGGGTGAAAAATATTTGCTTCTAAATGACCAACTATGCAGTTTGAACTACTACAGAATGAGTTCTGCACAATTTGATCATATATTAAACTTAGTCATACTTCATATAGCGCAAAACAGCGGTTAGCTATGCTGTAACCTTAAAATTTTTAGCAACGGGAAATGCATATCATGACTTAAAAGTATAAATACTCAATAACTTTATTGTTTCCATAGGTAATTTAAAATAATATTACATAATTAGGTTAGTCTCACTATAGACCCTATCGGGCACAACAATAATATAAAGTTTATTATAGCATTAGTTTTTATTATTGTAATTTATATAAAATTTATAATTGTACCAGACACATGCAAAGACTATCTAGAAATGTTTAAAACATTATATCATATTGATATATATATATATATATATAAGAAAAAGTAATAATATTAAATTACACTTAATATTATTTCTTTTCCTTTTGAGAAGACATTTTTGTCTGTTCGCAAATTTCGTTGTCGTTCACTGACGTCTCACACGCACGCTGCGCAACAACCAACTGAGCGTTCTAACACCCTAACAGCGATCACATTACTCGATAAATCGGCCCTAACTCTCATCGGGCGATCGGGCGCCCATGTTCACCCGATATCGGGACCCTAACTCTCTAACTGCGATTAGACTACCCAATTTACAGTGTACCCGATGGATCGGGCCCGATAGATTGGGTAGTGTAATAGGCGCCTAAGTTATAGGTTTTTAATGATTAAAAAAAAGGGGTGATTGTTACGACACGAGAAGCATAATGAATCCGAGACCGTTTTGGCTACACTCAAAAGTCACTTTTCTCAGGTGCGCTGAGCGTTAGCTTAATGGGTGCACTAGGCCATCTAAAAAGAAAAACTAATGTAGGTACACCCATTAGAATATAATCTTACTAATAGCAAAAGACGAGTAGCTCGGTGGCGTAGTGGATAAGCGCCGCGGCCCGCGATCTTAATCGTTAAGCAACTTTCGCAAGGGTCGGTCACGGGATGGGTGACCAAAAATTATTATCTCGAGCTACTCCGTGCTTCGGAAGGCACGTTAAGCCGTTGCTCCCGGCTGCATTTGCAGTCGTTAATACCCTCCAATCCGCATTGGGCCAGCGTTGAGGGTCATGGCCCATCCTCCTTAACCATCCATAAGGAAGGCCTGAGGCCCTGCAGTGGGAACGTAAAAGGGCTAGTGAATAGCAAAAGACACTCCTTATGTACTGCTGGTTACTTAAGGTATCTACTAAATTTTTAAGATGTAAATAATTAAAATAGACATTATTTGTTTGCCATGCCGCTCCCCAAATACTTTCGCTTTAGGCACTTGCCTAGTTAGCCTATATAGACGGCCCAGCTTAGCTTAGCAAATAAAGTGACATGCTACGAGGTGACTGGTGTGTCTGTCGTTACGGCGGTAGACTATACTTGTCCATGCTAACAATGGATGCCAATAGGGCTGTAAAAATCGATTTTAAATCGTCTCGTTTTGGCACTACAATTACTAATGCAAACTTCATCCTAGTTTTTCTGATTATGAAAGCAAGGTAAAAATAATAAAAATATACAATATCTTATATATCTATCTTCTCTATTGATAATATCACTATTCTTCTGGTTTTTCTTAAATAAATCCAAAAGATCTTGTTTACCAAGTATATGAATAAAAATCTATTCACTATTGTTTTATCATAAACAGCAGCTACTGCAGCTACTTATAAAAAACTGGAAGAAGTTGTTTTACTAAATTATCTATATAAATAACTTAATAAATTATTAAAAGAAAAAAACATTTTCATATCATCTTTAATGTTAATGATCCTTGTCTTCTTTTAACATTTCTTCTATTAACCTTTGCCTTTCTGCTGCTTGGCGCATTTTTGTTAACACTAATGATTCATAATCTCGGTATGAAACCAAAGATGGGCCCCCTCCATCCCTTTTTGTAGTTAACACGGGCTTATCATTGAGCCACTTCATATTGATTGGGTTATCTGCCAAACCTAAAAGAAATAATTGTTAAGTATATATAATTGATTATGAATATTACATTATAATATTTGAAAATGTGCATAGAATATAAATTTCAACCTTTTTCTAGTTCTACAGCCATTTCAGATGCTTCTTTTGTTGAAAATTCTACAAGTGCACTACCTTTTTTCTTTGGAGACATTATAAGAGCAACAATGTCACCATATTTTTTCAAAAACTTTCTTAACAATTGTTCATCATAACCACCATTATGAGGATCGTCTTTATCTACTTTCCATTTGATTTTGATTCTATTGAGACTGGAATCCCAAACAGGTTCACATAATTTACCCATTCTTCTCTGAATTTCATCTTTCACTTTTTGTTGTTCTTCTTGAAGCAGTCTACTTCCTTCCTTTTGCAAACGTTGAATTTCTGCAGCTAATTTTTGTTCGTCTGTTAGATTTACTGTTCCCTGCCCTGCAGATGCCTGTTTTTCTCGTTGTTCTAAGTCTTCTTTCAACTTTTGTCTTTTACTATCTAATTCTTGATGTCTAAGTTTTGCTGCTTCTTTAGCTCTTAGCACTTTATCATATGCTAACCTTGCTGATACATCTGTTAATATTTCTAAAGCTCGGGCTAATTCATGAAATGTTTCTGCAGCCTTTGGATCGTCTGGATTCTTATCAGGGTGACATTGTAATGCTTTTTTTCTGTATGCTTTCTTTATCTGAAAATTTAATTAATTTTAGTTTAATATTATCATGCCTCAAATGGGCTGATCTCCATATTCATTACTACCTCAGATTCAGTTGCTGTTAACTGAATACCCAGAACTGCATAGAGATCAACATCTGCTATGTTTTTCGTCGCAGTCATATTAAATCTTGACGGAAACTCAGCTAAGAGAATATAAACACTACGTTTTTAGACTCTGTTTGAAATTAAACATAAATTGACAACCATCACAGAACTACAAACCAATGAAACCAAACAAATAATCCACAGACTTAGTAAAGTAATCACAGATTTAGTAATGTCAATTAATGGTGTGCGGTGCGATTACCGTTAATCAATTATTCAAATAATCAGTTGCTATCGATTATGATATCATAATCGACTATTAACCATCGATTATTTCTTAAAACGTTAGCGATAGGAATAGTTGAAAACGTTAGTATAGTATCTACTTACATAACTTCGATGGCTCAGCAACAAAAACTTAAAACGTTAGTATAGTACCTACTTACTTTACTTCAATGGCTCGGCAACCCATAGCGGATCGCGAGTGTGAATATTTTTAGTAGATATTCTATACGTAGATACTTCCAGAGGTTCTAGTAGGTAGATACTTCCACGAACAAATAGGTTACTTTACTCTTTGGTTGGGGAACTCTCGATGAATGAATAAACGGATCTTACAGTTTTATTTTAACAAATACAAATTAACCGTTTCTCACTAAATGCACATGTAAGTATACAGGATACATACCAATACCAAAATAATATTTTTTACATTTTTTGTCTGTCTGTTTGTTCCAGCTAAACTCTGAAACGGTTAGACCAATTTTGACGGGACTTTCATTGGCAAATAGCTTATCTAATAAGGAATTACTAAGGCTACTTTCCACGCGGACGAAATCGCGGGTACAGCTAGTTTAATTCTATAAATTTTGCATGCACAACGCTGGTATAGTAAACATTATCTTAAAATTGATTTTTATATATTTCAAATATATATGAAACTATTAAAAATAAATTGCATATTGTGGTCATCTTGTTAGATATTAATCTAATAAAGTTTATTCCTTAGAATCTGCAGCCAAAATATGTTTAGCTTTAGTAAAAAACCATAAAGAAAAATGCAACATTTTTAGAAATTCAATCAATAACACATTGGGCGCCATCGACTTCGCTGGACCATTTCGAATTAAAGTCAGGACTCATTGCGGTACTATGTTAGATAAAGCTCATATTTGCCTGTCTGAGTGCCTTGCAACCAAAGCAGTGCATCTAGAGGTCGATTCGTCTCTCTCCGCTGAAGGTTTTATCGCAGAGTGGCGTCGATTAATAGAGAGACGTAACGTTAATCATTCTGATTGCGGTACTAATTTTATCGGTGCTAGACATTATCTTAGTTAATTTGTGCAAGTTTCGCAAACGCTCAGCATTAAATTTAATTTTAATCCACCTTCTGCTCCACATTTTGATGGAGTATGGGAAATCCAAATAAAGGCTGCAAAATCTCATGTATATCGTATTGTTGGCAATCAGGCGTTAATTTTCGAGGAACTTAGTACGTTGTTTATTCAAATCGAAGCAGTTTTATATTTGCGACCTTTATGTCCGATGAGTGCGGATCCTAACGACTTGAATGTTTTAACGCCAAGTTATTTTCTGATCATGGAATTGCTAACAACTGTACGAAATACGGATTATTATAATATCAACGTGAACCGTTTGAATCGATGCCAGTTAATTGAATCGTTTGTTCAAAACTTTTGGATGCGCTGGAGAAACGAATATATTAATTCTCTTACACAGAAGGCGACAGCGAAGGCAGAAGACGACATTGCGCCAGCTGCATCCAGCGGCCGCCCGCGACTCCAACGATGTCGTCCGTCCATCTAGTCGGGGGTCGACCAATGCTGCGTCTTCCGGTTCATGGTCTCCACGCGAGAACCTTTCGTCCCCATCGGTTATAGGTTCGTCGAGCGATGTGGCCTGCCCATTGCCACTTCAACTTATAAACTTTGCGAGGTATGTTGGTCACTCTAGTTATTTGGCGAGTATCCACGTTTCGGATCCTATCGCGCAAAGAAACCCCTAACATAGCTCTCTCCATGCCTCGCTGAGCGACTCTGAGCTTCTCTAAGAGGCCAGCAGTTAAGGACCACGTTTCAGTGCCATAGGTCAAAATCAAAAATCAATCAAAATCAAAATCATTTATTCAGTCTAGGCTGTTACAAGCACTTGTGAAAGTCGAGAGCTACGCCAACGGTTCGTAAATCTACGGCGGGAGACCTTGTACCGAGAAGAATCGGCAAGAAACTCGGCAAGGGCTGTTTTTTTCTCCCTGTTTTATTTCATACAGAGCGTCAAGATTGAAAAATGACTTCATTAAAATTTGAAGTCACTTTCCATTACAATATAACACAATATTAAGAGTAAAACAGTATTTTCGTCAATCCAATCACATTTGTAGCCAAAGAAGCTCACCGATTAACAATTTAATATATATGAAAAATGAGCCATATTTAACTCCAAGTAGTTTTGTCGTTTAAATCATCACTGGTAACACACACTGGTTATACACCTTTGTCTTTAGACACTGTGGTAACTTGGACGTAAAGATATCGCGTAGCTTCCCGAACGCTGCCCAGCCGAGTTGGATTCTTCGAGCGACCTCTTTGTCGAAATTGGATCTACCTAACTGGATTGTCTGTCCAAGGTACACGTAGTGATCGACAACTTCGAGAGTATCAGTTCCAATGACCACCGGTACGGGTGCAACATGGACATTCGACATGATTTTCGTCTTGTTCATGTTCATTTTAAGACCCACCTATTTGGAAACGATACTCAGGTCGCTGAGCATTGTACTGATGTGCTCCATCGATCTTGCCAAGATGACTATGTCATCGGCGAAACGAAGGTAAGTGATGTATTCGCCATTGATGTTGATGCCGTATTTGTCCCATTCCAAGAGCTTGAAGACGTCCTCCAATGCATTCGTGAACAGTTCCGGAGAAATGACATCTCTCTGTCTCATGCCTCTGCGCAATTGGATTGGTTTCGTGCTTTGTTCCTGGTAGCGAATCGACATTGTGGCGTTGCTATACAAACGCTTCAACACTTCGACGTACCTGTAGTCGATTTGGCATCGCTGGAGGGACTGCAGTACTGCCCAGGTTTCGATTGAATCGAAGGCTTTCTTATAGTTCACAAACGCTAAGCAAAGTGGCAGATTATACTCCTCGGTCTTCTGTATAATCTGCCGCAGCGTATGTATGTGTTGTATGTATGTCTTTTCGGAAACCGGCTTGTTCGGGAGGCTGGAAGTCATCAAACCAGCGTTCGAGCCGATTCGTAATGACCTTCGAAAACAGCTTATAAACGTGGCTCAGAAGCGAGATTAGTCTATGATTCTTCAACAAGGTCTTGTCACCTTTTATGAAGAAAAGCACAACCACGCTTCTGTGCCATGCTTCTGGCGTCGTACCCTCGAGAATGACGGAATTGAACAATTTCTGGAGGACCGGTTTTCCACCCTCTCGCAAAAGTTCAGTAGTGATTCCGTCATCCCCCGGTGCCTTGTTGTTCTTGAGCTGTTTGAGTGCCATTCTAATCTCGTACAGGCTGATGTCTAGGATATCGTCGGTGTAATGTCGATAAAACCTCTCAAGCTCAATCAGTATCTCCGGTTTTGAAGATACGATCCTGCCGTCGTCGATCTTCAGCTTCGTCATCTGACTTGACCCTGCAGACAAATTTCGTGCAAACACTTTGGAGCCTTGGTTCCGCTCTATTGCCTCCCTAATACGTGTAGTATTATGGGAGCGCAGATCGCGTCGCATCGATTTGGAAATTCATCTGTTAAGTCGACCATATTCCGACATATCGGTTGAAGATTGCAGTCTCATATCCCTCCGGTCCGCCATCAACTTGAGCGTTTCGTCTGAGAGCTTTTGAGATTTAATACGGCGCGGGGCTTTATAGAACTTAGACCCCACAGCTTGGACTGTTTCTACAAACCCGTTTTTTATTCTGTCCACAGACTCGCATTCAGCTAGACACTGAAAGCGATTGTGTAATTGGAGTTGGAAGGCTTCGGGGTCCACGATATGAGCAGCACTAGGTCGGAGCGTAGACTTCATCAGACGTGACCTTTCGAGCTTAACATTGATATTCAATGTGCCTCTAACGATTCGGTGATCGGTTTTCACCCTGCTGATCACGGAGACATCATTGAATATGTGCTTTCTGGTTGTCATGATGAAGTCGATCTCATTTTTTGTCGAACCATCAAGGCTCATCCAGGTCTACTTCCTGGAGGGTCTCTTCTGAAAGAAGGAGTTCATCGCAAAGAGTCCCTCCTTCTCCATGAAATCGACCAGCTTCTGGCCCCGGTGGTTGCGCCGCCCATAACCAAATCGACCCACCCTCAACTCATCGCCATTCAAAGCGCCCAGCTTCGCGTTAAAGTCCCCCATTACAACGGTGAAGTAGGTATTAGTCGTATGTATGACTTCAGAAATCTCCTCATACATAGCCTCTATCTCATTGTCGGAGTGTGAAGAGGTCGGGGCAGAAACCTGTATGACCTTCAGCGAATACCTTTCGGTAATTCTGAGTATAAGGTACGCCCGACTCTGCTCGACACACTATCGATCTTCACCACGTTGTTCACGAGGGACTTGTAGACGACAAACCCAACACCACCTTGAGATTTTTGATCTCCTTCCCGGAAGAAGAGCATGTTACCGGACTTAAGGATTACCGTACTGGCCCTCTCTTCGGATTTCGGATAATCTCACTATGTGTTGGTAGCGCCGAATCTGCCGGGGATTCTTAGCACCCCCTGCCCCTCCGTTACCTGTCCCGCTACCAGAGACAGGAATAGAGGGGCTGCCGGGGACTGGGGGCCGTGCATCATTGTCGTCCATCATGGGGGGGGGGGGGGGGAGTTGCCATAATCCCCACGCTTGGCAGGCGACTTGGAGATCGCAGTAGGTGGTTGTAGGTGATACCGGGAGGCGCTGCTGCCCGCCTTCCGTATAATCCCTCTGTCGGCTCCTAGGACACCCACGGGAAGATATGGGGGGGTGCTACTCTTAGGCCGGCACCCCACGGCACATATATATATATATATAACTTTTACCGGAAAATACCAGCTGTATTTTGATGGGCGGTATGTTCACTCATCGTAAAACATAACAACCTTAAATCTCCCCGCGTTAGGTTTAATTTAAATACGTTATTTGTGCTCTT